AAAAGAAAAATATTACCAGATATTCCGGTGGCAATTGACATAATATGATTGTTATTTCGGAATGTACAATTTAGCGTTTAGTTGGGTTTAAATAATATAGCGTCAAATCAATTACCTACTCTATCGGTTGTATCTCAATATACACTACACTTTAATGATACAATAAATAAATAAACTCACACATACACACATATGCATTTATAACATTGTGTCTAATGTAAGTATAACATGATAAAAAGTAACCGTAAAATGAAAAAAATGGAATATAAATTTTATTACTCATATTAAATGTAATGTAACTCGAAAAATATTTGTTTAAATGAAAAAATATAAGATTATATTTTTATTTATAATTGTCTTTTAAACAACTTTTGTGCGAAACTTTTTTTTGTAAGTTAAATATTTTTTTTTGAGAAAATTAAGAAAGCTCATATTTTTGAACTTTTGCGAGGATTTAAAAAAAAAGCTCAATTCCAATCTTGAGGACTATTAGTATGTCATTATACATATTTTAATTCAACTTTTAAAAAAACAAAATTTTTTCCGCAATTTTTCCTTTGTTGACAGGCCTAGATGTCAATTTTAAACTTGTAATTGAGCTAAAAGTTATGGTAATATATTCAATTTATTTTACTATAAACTTTCATAAATCTTTATCAAAAATTTTTCATCAACTTTAAAGAACCAAAAAAATAGGTTAAAATTGAAAATTTGGACTGATTATTTTTAACATATTAAAAATCAAATCAGTAATAATTTGAAAACAAATTTTTTTTTCTTTTAATTATTATTTTATATATATAATTAGTAATAATATAAAAAATTAGAAGTGATAGAAATAGTCTACTTGCAGATTTGAAAACAACGCGAAAATTTGATTTAGAAAAGTATATTTTTGCTTCTGATGAAAGTTCCTTGTAGTCCAGTGCATTTTTTTATAGTAACAAACAGTTTTTATTGAAAATTATTGTATCAAGCCCTTTAAATTTTTATACACGTAAAAGTAAAGCAAAATATAACTTCTTTATTATTTTTATAATTTCTCCGTTTAAATTACAATATTAAATATCAATTTCATACTAAATTTAATAATTATAATTAGTATATATTCATATATTATATTTTAAAATCAAAGAACTACTAATCATGATATAATTAAAGAAATAAGAGTTGATGTTGCTTTTGGAATAATCCACCAATTGCCTAATTAAAACAAAAAAAAAAAAAGTTTGTTGGGAATTTTTTCTGCTATTCTGCAAAATTACTCCTTCGTTGACTAGAATGAATCATTAAATAGAAAATTTTATGAGAATTAAAACAATGTTATTTTTAAGATTAATATGCAGTCAGAAAGTTTTATAATTATTATTTATTGTAAATTTATCAGAAAAACTCATTATTTTTTGCATTTTTATCGTAATAGAACACTTAAATAGAAATCATAGTAATCATTTCTAAGTAATTTTTGATATTTAAAAAGATTCTACTATTGAAATATCCAGAACTGAATTAATTTTAATGATTTACTTTAACTAAAAAAAAAAAAGTTAATATTTTGAATCCCTCTTGTGGGCAGGTAAAGGGTTAGATTTATAAAAAAAACCAAATGATAGATAAAGACATGCATCTAAATAAAAAAAAATATACTGATTTGGTCATTTTTGATAAAGTTATAACAATTAACAAAGTTATAAGTTTTATACACTGGACTACAAGGAACTTCCATCAGAAACAAAAATATACTATTCTAAATCAACTTTTCGCGATGTTTTAAAATGTGCAATTAGACTTTTTCTATAACTTCTAAGTTTTAATATTATTAAAAAATAGTTTTTACATATAAAAAAAAATAATTAAGAACAAAAAAAATTGTTTTAAATTAATACTGATTTGATATAATATTTAATATTAATTTGATTATTAATAAGTTAAAAATAAGGAAAATGACATATTTAACCTATTTTGTTAATCGTTTAAAGTTGATTGTTGTAAATGTTTATAATAAAAAAAAAAAATTTATTTTACCATAACTTTTAGCTCAATTGGTAAGTTTGACATTGACATAATTAAATAGAAAATTTTATGACAATTAAAAAAATTGTATCGTTAAGATCAATATGCAGTCAGAAAGTTTTATAATTACTATTTATTGTAAATTTATCAGAAAAGCTCAATATTTTTTTGCATTTTTATGGTAATAGATAACTTAAATAGAAGTAATAGTAATAATTTCCTAGGAACTTTTGTTGTTTGTTGAAAAGATTCTATAATTGAAATATTGAGAACTTAATTAATTTTAATGATTTACTTTAACTAAATGTACCAATCAAAACAAAGTTGTTAAAAAGATTTACTCAATTGAGTGTATTATAAAATTTGATTATATTTGTAAAAATCAATTGTTAATTCAGGAGAAAAAACAATCATTTTTTTTAGAAATGATTTATATAGCAACATGTTACAAAAAAAAATTGTAATATTATAGTCTAGTAGTAGCACACACAAATAGAGTAAAAAAATTATTAAATTACAAAGTAAAATGATTTAATTTTGTAGTTGAAACCTATCATATCAAACTTCATTCGTTAATAAATATTTTGAAAACATTAGAAATTAATGATTTTAATTGTCTTTATGGAGACGATGTAATAACTAACTGTTTAATTGATAAATTAGAATTTTTTTTTCAATTTTTGAGAGTAATATCTTCAACTAGATACGAATTGTAGTAATTTGACGTATTGTTGAAAAAAGTAGGTCAAGTTAGAGCAGAGAAAATAAATGATAGTCACAAAAAAATATCTTCTCGGCTTTGCATCGAAGCGAAAACTTAAAATATAGTAAAATAATTTTAATACGAATAAGAAATTTCTTCTTGCAAGGGGCGACTAAAGTGATGGGATCCTTGATCTTTATTGAAGTTATTGAATCTAAATGTGATAAAAATCAAACGAGTTAAAATTTATACTAACTTAAAAAGAATTAAGAAAAAATGCAAAAAATTCATTGCCATATGCGGGTTGGAACCTCGTACCCCAAGCGTGTAAAACATAAATTTTACCAACTCGGCAACCGTACGTTGCTTCCGGCGGTTGAAAAATTGGCTATTTAAGCTAGTTCAAATTTCAAAGTTATTTTTCTCGACTTAAAAGAAACAAACATATTTAAATAAGTTTAACTATCTATACTATATCAATTTTAATTTATATAATATTTATGAAAATCTGTACTCCCCTTGTCAGGTATTTTAAAATAAAATAAAATACAAAACCCAGAATTTTAACACAAAAATAGCATATTTTTGCATACGGTAGTCATTTTTACCATGAAGACAAATCCAGAGGTCAAATTTTTTTTTTTCACATTAAAGTATATTACATAAGCTTTAATTTAAGATATATTTAAAAGTGTCAGTATTTCCGGAATACTTTCAAAAATTAAATTGAAAATATCGTAGTAACAATACGCATGTTTAAAGTTTTGACCCCCCTTGTTAAAGGGGTATGATCCGATTTACAAAAAAAGCGTGCCAGATGAAAGGGGTATATAAATATTTATTATAAAAAAATTATAATATTAATCATACATTTTCCCAAAAGTTTTATAAAATATAATTTAAATAATATAAAATATAAAATCGAGAATTTTTTCATGGAAATCGTACGTTTTTCTTTAACTTTGATGACCGTTTTCACCACGAAGACAAGTCCAGAGGTCAAATTTTTTTTTTTCAAATTAAAGTATATTACATAAGCTTTAATTTAAGATATATATAAAAGTGTCAGTCTTTCCGGAACATTTTCAAAAGTTAAGTTGAAAAAGTTCTACTTTCTATACGCATTTTAAAAGGTTTGCACCCCCCCTGTATAAAGGGAAATGGTCCGATTTTAAAAAAAAGTATGTCGAATGAAAGAAGTATATATAAAGTATTTATCATTAAAGAATAAAGTTGATTCATGCATTTTTTAAAAAGTTATAGCAACATAATGTTAAAAAATGTAAAATATAATATCAAGAATTTTTTCACAAAAATAGCATATTTTTGCATACGGTAGTCATTTTCACCATGAAGACAAGTCCAGAGGTCAAATTTTTTTTTTTCAAATTAAAGTATATTACATTAGCTTTAATTTAAGGTATATATAAAATTGTCAGTCTTTCCGGAACATTTTCAAAAGTTAAGTTGAAAAAGTTAATTTTTTGTAAAAAAGTTACCATTTTGAAACCCCATCCTTTGGGCTGTTAAAGGGTCAAATGTTCACAAAAATATATAAAATGATAGGTAATTATCTAAGGTATCTATAAAA